GAAAACTGGATCAACTTGAGCATTTAATATTTGAGAAAACGAAAAAAATTCAAAACAAATAGGTCCAAAATCCCCCAACTGAAATTTTCGAAGGCCGTAGAACCTGAGATAAAATGAAGAGAAGACGAGCAAAACGAGCATAAGAGGAGTCGATTTTTCTATCGGTATATTTTTTTTAAAATAAAATCGGCACAGTAATTTTTGAGTAAAATTGAAATTTCTGCAAAATACTACAAAGCGTCGCAAAAAAAAACGAACAACTAATCCCATACATTTTCATAATACACATGTTTTCAAACAAGACCTAAGATAAGCCAAAAATAAAGCAGCAACATAAGCATTAGGGTGTTATGCTTAAATAAGCTTAAATTTGATAAAATTGAAATATACCAAAAGTGCCACCAAATGAGCACTTTTATTTGCGACTTAGCTTAGAAAAAAAATCTAAATAATCCACCACGCTTCGTTTGTGTATACAATTCTGAGCATAATTTACAAACAAATCAAACAATTGAGCTGAATCTGAAGCCTCAACGAGAAAATGAAAGTGATCGTTATGATGAGGACAGTAAGGAAAACGAAAAAGGTCAAGAGGGTGAATGGATTCCGGATACCAGTCGAGAGGCAAAATTTGAAAAAAGAACCAGAAAAAAATCAGACCTGAAATCACAAAATGCAAAAAACATATCATTAAAAATATTTATAAACATAACCACACGAGACGAAAGATCCGGGCGTCGAAATATGTATTTGATATCACTGAATTTTATAAATTAAAGTATTAAAGATAAAACAGAAAAAAATTATCGAGTGTTGGGATCATTGTACGTCGAGTTCATGCAGAGGAAATACAACTATTCCACAAGCTTTCGGGCATAAAAACCTGCCCATGAATCTAGATGCTACAACGATATATTCAAACAAGTAACGAATAATCTCGAAGATGAAAACTTGAACAAAAAAAGAGCAATTAATCAATGATGCAGTTAACTTATTGATTGATTTGTAAATATTTAGTAGAGCCTAATGTATTCAAAAAACTAAAAGTAGCCTAGGATATTTCAAAAAAGATGAGATCTTTAAGTTCGACTAAAGAGAAAGTTTAAAAACAAAAAGATAAGGGAAGATATCGGATACTAATTGAACGATTCGAGCAACTATTCTATCTTTTTGGGGTTTAGGGCTAACTTATTACCTTAAGGGCTACCATTTACAATTTAATTACATTTTTTAATAAATCTACCTCATTTCAGCTGTTTGTAATTTTGGTTAACTTTGTTACAATTCTAGTGAATTTGAGTCTTTTTGTTGTTTTCCTAAATTTTTTCTCGTTTCGGAAACAATTTTGGAAATTTTAGACCCACTTCTGTCGTTTTAAACCTATTTCTGAGACTTTGAAACCCCAGTCAGTTTTAGAGCTTTTAGTTAGCCCCAACCCCAAACTTAAAAGGCACGAATCACTTTTTGAGACCAGCTAGTCCTTTTTTGGCAAGGACCTCAACGAGTCATTTTGGAATGTCACTTTCTGAGAAGCATTTTGGCCATGTCTAAATTCACTTTCTGGTCGAACTTTCTCAGAATATGACTGTGCTAGGACCCTAAGCAATAAGCTGTAAATTGAGTTCGTCGCGATAAAAAGGCATGAGAAGGCGGAGCTAATTCTGCTGACTGGCTATGAATTACCACTGTCCCTACAGAAAACCCATGACGGGGAGCAGTTTCTCTTACACGATTCTGATCCAAGAATAAAATCGGATTTATGTGTTCGCCACGTTACCTGGGTTAGACTTACCTACTCCATCAGATGATTGATTCTACGTATTCTACCAAAATTAAACTATGCGCGCTGTAGTTGAAGGATGGATGAAACCTCTTGTTTACGCTCTTTTAGCGACAAAAAGAAAAGGAATCACAGCATTGTCGCCTCCTCAGTATTCTGCAGAACAGCTACCCATCGGACTCAATAACAGCTATCAGCATCAGTGCGCTCAATCTCAGTTTTGTTTCTTTTATGAGTCAAAGAGTCTGACAAGACACACAATCGACAGGCAATACTCACAATTATAAGACTGATCTTAAGTTTCGTGAGTTTATTCGAAATTTTCTCTCAACAGCATTTCTAACTGTCGAAGGCATACCCGATGGGTGCGAGCTTCCCTAAGGTATAGCAATTTTAAAAAGCCAATATATATTCAACTATTTCGAGGACATATATCATTAGACTTTTATCTCAAGGACGATAGCAGCTCATGTAGGATCGACAGAGAGTAAGGGAGTTGTCATCAACGAGTACAAAACGAGCTTTCCCGCATTAAAAAAAGTTGTAGTAGGGTGGCACACGAGTTTCGTAAAAACAGTGAACAGCAAAAACCCTTTCTTTCCGAAATTCATAAAGAATTACTCAAGGCCGACATTTTTTTTCCAAAAAAAAGCGAACGAAAAGTAGCCTGACCCAAAAATAATTGATATCAAAATTCGACAAAATTAACTAACATGATTAAGTCAAATCAACTCAACAATATCATTGGGGTTTTGAAAGGATACAAAATAATGTTTTAGTTTTCTGTTTTTATATTTATACAGCATTACCAAGGAAAAAAAATTACCACTATTTTCCTTGATTTATTAAAACTGAGCTGGTGTCGATTTGAAACCGAATAAATCATGGATGCCGGTGATGGTGTGATTTTCGTTTTCACCCATGCCCAGTTCTCGAACGTTTGCACCCGGTATATCCGTTTTCATGTTTACCCAAGTTTCAATGTTTTTCGGAAAATTGGAAATCTTTTTTGTGTTGCCAGAGTTTGAGTCTAAGATAATTTTCGGTTCTTTGATCTTCAATTACGCTCATGTTTGATGTTTTAAAGCGCTATCAATTTTGTCGCCGCCAAAAGTTCAGGCCAAAAAATTCAAATGCTTTGGCCTGGACTGTTTTGTATGGGCTGTTTTTGTTTGGGACTATTTTGTATTCGCACCAGGGTAGATAAATATATGGCAGGATAGTGTAAAGTAGAATGGCAAAAAGTAATTTTGAATAGGTTCGAATGTCATGGAACCGATAAAAAGCAACATCGATTTCAATTTACTATAATTTTTCATACAAAGCCAGCACGCTGAAAGAACAAAAAGTTAGGCTTAAACTAAGACAACTTCAGTTAAAAGTCTGAAAATGTTAACTCATGAGCTTCGTGACAATTGTCATTTCCTAAATTAACAATTATACCAAGCAATAATTATATCGAGCAATTATTATGCCTAGTAACGCTTATACCCATTAACTTGCTGAATTCCATCCTAGTAACGCTTATACCCATTAACTTGCTGAATTCCATCTCTTCCATAAATTATTTTAATGATGCACACACATAGCACTTCATGATTACACATCCTCTAATTATGAGTCAGCTACCCGATTTGAATATAGCTCCTTTTTCAGACGCTCAATTTCAAGCTCTTGTTCCTGAATTTTTGACGACAAGCGCACGACAAGATTAGACTGCGACATTTGAGTTAAACTGCTCGTATCTCCCATTCCGAACTCATCCAAGGCCGTTTGTTCACGACTCATCACACCCGAATCTGTTCCGAGTGTACTCACTCGGCTTGGTTCATTCATTCTTTGCACGTCCGATGAACTCTGATAGCTACTATTATTGCTGTCTAGCATTGATTTCAAATCTTCATTTTCTTGCTTGAGTTCGAATAGCTGCAGAGATAGGTTTTGTTTAAACTCCGCCATTTTTCTTTGCATTTGCTTACTCTTGCCTTTCGCATTTTGCTTCTACACAGGATATATCACTCTTTTTCTGACAAACTCACGTTTAAATTTAAGAAACTAAAACTGTACATACCATTTCATTTAGTTCTCTTTGACAGGAATCAAGTGCTTCGGATTTAATGCTAAGGTCCTGGAACATAACACAAAATCAAAGCGAAATAATGGTCAAAATTCCAAATCTCTGTTCATTTCACTCACAGACTGAAGCTTTCTTAGCTCTGTTTTGATTTTGATGTTTTCTGTCACAAATTCGGTATTTCGCAATTTCAGGTCATCGCATTGGCCTGTCAAGTTTTCTACTCTATCCTCCAAATCTAGCTTGCTTGTTTCCAGCCATCCAACCTGTTCTCTGAGCTGATGAATTTCTGACAACAGCTCTCGATTTTTGTTGTTCAGAGTCTGAGCTGCCAGTCTTGGAGTTTCTAACAATCCCGCCGAATTGGACCTGCAAATTGCAACCGGTTTGTAGTTTCAGTTACATTCTTGCTTCTTATTTTTTTGTACAGCAGAATTCGTTACTATACTAGTCAATCAAATCCCATGACTAGCATCTTAGAGCTCATTGTCAAGTCTGATAGATATTAGAACAATTTAGAAGATATAAGAAAAAAGTTACTCTCTGAATAACCTCGGAACTTCCTCCAATATTGCTGAAGATCTATTGAGAACAGAAAATAAGAGTAGTACAGATCAGCATTAGACTAAAATGTTGCATGAAACTATCTCGCTGTAAATAGACAGCGTGACAAACAGGTGTACTCAATAACAAACTACTTAAAAGAAAAACAGATCCGATCCAACTCAAATTATTCGGAGAAAAAACAATCAAATTGAAAAATATCCATTCCCATAATTGAAGCAAAAACCATCAATGGACACAGGACACATATTCAATCAGAAAAATAGATACGCCATCCGTGCAATTAACCATTTAAATCTGTCAAAATTTCTGTCCACAACACTCAACTCAAAGACTTCAAATTATATTTTAAACATGCAGCTCTCAATTCAGCTTTAGGATAAGAGTATGAGCGATTTCACTCATCGCGTACCTGTTGAGATGAGAAGCATCATTCACTTCATTATTTGGAGTCTTTCCTTTTTTCACAGATGCTCCATTTCCCATTAATCTGAAAGAGGTTTTTAAAATTAACATGCAAGACCATAACTTGCAGAACAAGAACAACCAATACACTGAGCAGGAGGAATTAAAAAGTAAAGATTGTGTTCAAAATTTGACATTATATTTACAACCAATATTTAATTTATAATCACGCCTCACATTTTTTTTACCACATACTGATGAAGATTTGAACAATAATACAGCACCTATCAGATAACATCTGTTCCCAGTTACCATAGCTTTAAATATATTCGGGACGACCAGAATTCCGGGAATACTTTGTCTCGTTTTGCTCATTCTTTATTGAAGTGAAATTAAATTCGCCAGGTAAAAAAGCCTCATATCATAAAATGCTTGAAGTTCTTAAGCCTCCTAAATTCGGTATTCATTTTTTGCTTCATTTGACTAAACTTGAAGTCAATTCCGTCCAAAGACTTATCAAAATTACTTAGACCAATTAGAGGCTGGGTAAAATATATATCTATATGGATCATTATAAGCTAGAGTTCGATCTCCTTTCGGTTTCCCGCCTACTACCATTTCACTGCTGCTGACTTCTTCCCACTTTCTGAGACAAGTTGATTTTATCTCCCAAACTCAGTGCCATGCCTTGGCTTTTCGCCCTCAGTCTGATATGTCCAGTCACTGGAGCATCTGGACTCAGTTTCTCAATTGACAGGTTAGCCAGTGCGTCTTCTCCGAAGATGGATCTGGCATGGAGGTTTGCGGCCATGAACCCGCAGTCGCCTGAGAGTGCTTTGTCTGGGGTGAGACACTTGAGGTTGGTGGTGGCACACAGATGCCGAAGGTATTCTCGCAGATCAGTAATGCTCGTGTTAACAGACACCTGAAATGATGACTTTATTTAGATATGCAGCTCAACTTGTCAGCAAAAATAAAGCCAAAATAATGATTCCAACTTTCAGCTTTCTCACAACGAAATAGCTAGGGCTGAACATGTTAGAAATAGTATAGCCAAAAAAATATTCGCTTTCTCGCAACTTTAAATCTAGGAATCTTTTCCAGTTTCCCACCCTCACAGAAAAATTTGACAAATAAGTTGACTTTACTGCAGTTTGTGTGCACGAAACACTGTGCAAACTTGCTCGCACTCACAAGTTTCGTTATCATCTCAGTAATCTATATGAAGTTTGGACGAAGTTTTTCTCAAACTTAACGAAAACGATCGAAAAAATTCCAGGGTACCGCGGAAAACAAATTTGCAATACAACATGCCATTATTTGCAAACTTCTAAATCAATTGGGTCAGTAAGCTGAATTTGAGTATACAATAAAACCGTTCAGAAGTCGGCCAATTGCTCGGTAATGAATCTTGTCCAAGTGTACCTTTCTCAAGTGCCTATAACGTACCTTGTTCTCCCACTCGAACTCTTGCCACATCTTTCTGAACTCCACGTCTGTGCACGACGCCGGAACTATGTAGTCCATAACGTCGATGTGGATATCATTCAACACCACTACACTGTGGGTATTGTTCACATCATACACAATATTCCCGAAAATGATTCCGTTCTCAGTCGAAGTCACTTTCACGCTCGCCTTGATGTTGCAGAAATCCAAGGGTCCAATGTTAACTGCAGTCGGCTTCTCGACGAGCTTCAGATCTCCAAGAGTCGCAACTTCGACTATCAAGTTCTGTAGAGTGTCAGAGGTCTGATTGACGACAAGAATATCTAACACGATATCGAATTGGTTTACGTTGACATACGCCTCAGCGTATATTGGGTCTGAAAATCCTGTCAATTGGGTCACTTTGTTCAACTTCGTGTTAGAGAAGTCAACTTTGTCCTTCTTGGAGCTGGAGCCTACAGCTTGGAGCAGAGATGCCTCAAAGGCGTTCTCTTTGTTCGACATATCGGCTCTGGTAAGAAGCTGACCAAAGTTTATAGCGTCATCAGTTTCAACGGCGACTAACTTCTTGTCCAATGCGGCTACTTCATTGGCTTCCTGTTGCTGAATAGTCGCAAGCATTAATTGCAAGCTGGACCTGCAGTTCTCACCAAAGATGGTCGACATCATTTCTGAGGGTTCTGAGAGCGCCTTGAGGCATACCGCAATTCGGTCCACGTCATCATCGGATATATTCTTCTTGGGCAGCGATGATTTGCCAAAGTGCAAGATTGTAGTCAATGTTAGCATGCACTCTGCTACAAATCGATTTTGCTTCTTCGGATCTTGTACCATAGACACGTACTTCAAAGCCATTTTCGTCAGACATGTTGCCAAAGAAGCGCCGACAAAAAAGTTGCCTTCAAACAACATATGCCTCAATGGGGGTCTCTCCGGTTCTTTCTTGGACGAGTTTTTAGATGCTGTATATGCACTCTCTGAAGCATACGTTCCCATATCAGTAACTCGCTTCTGGGCATAACTCGATTCCTCTTCTTCGTTGTGTCCATCTCCGCTATCCAAGTCTTTTCTCAGTTCCGATTCCAAAATAGGAATATCGCCAAGGGATTTTGCGATTGCGTGCATGGAACCTTGTATCTCTTCAATTGTAGAACAATATTCTCCTAGAATCCATACAGCTGAGCGGAAAATGTTTGCATTTCTCACCGTGTTGAACTCCGTCAGCAACTTTTGAACCAGATTGTTTTTCAAATTCGGGAATCTCTGTACAGCTTCTCGGACATACACAAGAACGTCTTGCGCAGCAGCTTCATTTTCGTCTCCAATAAGATCCAAAAGAAGCGGAATTATAATTGGGTTAATATCTGGAAACTTAATTCCACATTGATGCAGGGTTCGTACTAGAAGCTGTCGGTACTTCCCAACATCGTCTTGGACTGCAGTTCCTGCGCTTGCTAGAGTCTTCTGGACTTCCTTCTTTAGAACCAGGACCAGCTCCTCGACGTTCCTCGAGGAAACCAGATCCAGGGCCAATGACAGGGTTTTGCGACGAACCTCCAAATCAGGAGCAGAGAGGACGCGCAAGATATCCATTACTAATTCTTGTAAGATCCTCTCATGATTCGGATCATCTTTTAGATCAATCAGACGATCCAGAACAATCAGTTTAACATTGTTGTCACTCTCTTTCACAATCAGTTCTATGTAGCATGAAGCCGCAGCTTTAACAGCTGTCGGAGCTCCCGACAGAGTCACCAGGGTTCCCGCTGCTTCGTATCGCACAGCTGCACTTGTTGAATTCAGGAGGTTATAAATACACCTGATGAATCTGGCTCGCTCTGCAGGGTTACTAAAGCAAACCTTGTATATAAGCTCAACAATCACCAATTGAAGGATATCCCCAAAACTGCTGACTTGGTCGATGCAAGAGTCGAGATAGTTCAAAGCTTTATCCGTGTCAGTTTGGATCAACATGATAAAAGCATTTCGTTTGCAGGATAAATCTTGCTCGCCTTCCAAGTAGTTGAATATCAGATCAGGTGCGTCCTGGATCAAGAAATCGAAGTTTTTGTAAATTGTGAAAATTGCCAGAACTGCGTTTCGTCTGACATACGAGTGTCTGTGTTCCAAGCATGCTCTTATGGCCGGCATCAAAGGTTCCAGAAGCTCTGGTTCCTTCAACTTGCACAGAAATCTCAAAACCGATCCTCTGATGTACTCATTCGGGTGGTTCAGGTCTTTCCTGTAAGCATCACAGACAAGAATAAACTCAGGCAGAAGCTTCCCATCAGATGAAGTTTTCGGAACAATTTCGAAGAAAATTAGAAGCAGTTTCTTCACTTGATGGTCTTGACAGGGCAGTGCAAATCGGATAATTGTCATCAGAAGACCAGGAAACTTTTCCCCATTAAGCATCAATCGCATGACCTTCTTGAGTGCTTCAGCTTTTTTCTTAACATCTGCGCTTTCAAGCTCTTCTTTCAAGGTCATTTCACTTGCTGCTTCACCAGATGCTGGCGCTATCAACGTGTAGCAAATCTGCTCAGTGGCTGACATTTTGCTTACTGAAAGGAAAGGTCGAAATTAGCAGCGCAGCTATATATTTTTCAAGATTTGAAATTTTTATCAACATTTCTCAGATCATACCAGCTATTTTCTCGGACTTAAGGTGTCATCCGCTCTGGATCGACAAATTAACCTTATATGTATGTTATTTATATTACTAATAATCTTATGTTAAACGCCTAGACGGCTGGTCACTTGACCTTGATATACAGAGAGGACGAACTCTAATTGAAATAAGAAACAGAGTTGAATTAATGTTGTCTGTCAACTAGTTGTTTTATATCGCTCCGACTTAGAAATAAGGTTTATCGATCCATCCGGATTCAAGGATTATAATATCATACCCTCTGGTATGACATGGCGCAGCCAGCAGGATATACCAAAAACCCACTGAATATTAACCCCTTTTGGGAGAGAGCGTCGGACGAACCACCATTAGAATGGACAAAGTGGGCAGCTATATTGGAGATGGCTGTGTTCGCAAAGGATTGGATCGAAATACGGAACTTATTGAGAGCCAGACCAACACTCTTCGAACCCGCCGAGCCTAAGTATGAACTTGAAATACAGGGCGAAACAGACGCGCAACGGAAAAATCGCGAGGTGCGCAATCAAGAAAAACGAGTTGGTTGGGAGAATCACGTCATAAAAGCCCGGGAGAAAGGAGTACTATGCAACTCATACAGATGGGACGAAGCAGACGCAAGAGTCCGGAATTACCTTTTTCTCTGTCTGGGAGCCGAGGGTCAAAGACAAGTCCAACAGAAAAGACCTAACCTTGTATTACACAATGTAACCACACAAGAATTCATGACAACACCGGAAGATATCTTTGTTACTAACAGAATTGTAGCATTCGAGAGATATAATTTTATTTGCCGTTAACAAAAGAAGTCGGAAAGTCTGGAACAATTTCATGCAGATCTCGTCGAATAAGCCTCACGGGCTGATTGTGGAGACAGAGAAGATGAATGGGTTAGAGACATATTTACAGCACACATGCACAACGAAAAAATCGCGGAAGAACTGTTAGCACAAACACGGACTCCACAAGACGCATATGAGTATGCAATTCGCCGAGAAAAAGGAATTGAAAATAGTCGTACTATGAAAATAAATCCTTTTGGGGGACAAACTACACCAAAACAAGAACCAATACATTATATCAATACTCGGGGCGGTCGATATAACTCTGGGAATAACCAAAACTCACAAAGAGGTCGAGGCGGGTTCCGCGGTCAACCATATCCGCGCGGATCACAAAACACAAGAGGAAAACAACGAAATAACAATACAAACAGTTCAAAACAATGTTACAAATGCGGAAACCAATACAATCAGAATCACCTGCAATCTTGTCCGGCGAAAGATAAAATTTGTTCAAAATGTGCCAAACGAGGGCATTTTGCAAAAGTTTGCAGATCTACAAACGTTAATTATTTAGGAACCCGGCAAGACGAACAACAGGAAGAACTAGAAACAGAAAGCCTGGAAACCGAAACCGATCCGGTGGCCTTTGCCGAGTTTACATCACATAACGGATGGGATGAATATCAAATAGACAAATTCTCGGTTATGGCAACCGCTGAATCTTTTGAGATCAAAAATACAAATTTCCTGTCGGAAGATGATCTAAATGGCCATATTGTGAAACTAAAAACAAATCCAGAAGAATTGTTCGCTATAGCCGATTCAGGAAGCCCAATGTCGTTTTTGAACGAAAAAACCGCACGGCGCATTCAACAAAACGATATATCAGCATTACTAAGTGTATCCCACCAAACGACACAGCAAGACACCTGGCTTGTTATAATGGTGAAACAATAAACCCGAAAGGACGATTGATTAAAACGATCGAATCAGGAGGCTGGAAAATTCAATCAGCTCCATTCATCATTGTAGATGATCAAAAAGCCAATATTATTGGACGCAACATACTACCACAAATCGGTGCCAAGCTAATACAATAAAAAAATAAACAAAATGTATTGAATATACGCGAACAAGAAGAATCGGATCCGGAAATGAAACAATGGGTCAAAGATAATTTTCAACAGCTATGCATACGTATTGGAAAATCAAAAAATCACATGATGAAAACTCAATTCAGTCAAGACTTCATGCCAATACAACAAAAAGGACGACGTATTCTGGTGCACTTACAGAAAAGAGTTGAAGGGGAATTGAACAAATTGATGGATCAAAATCACATCATCAAACTAGATAAATGCTTGGATCGACAATTTATTAGTCCAATTGTAATCACAGTGAAAAAGGATCAAACAGTCAAGTTCGCGTTAGATTCTAAGAAAATCAACAAATTCATTCACAAAAACAAATACCAAACATTGAATTATTGTTGGACAATATCGCGCAGGTGGTAAAATCAGACAAATCCAAACAAACACTATTTTCAACACTCGACCTTCGATACGCATATTCACAAATCCCGTTGGATAAAACGACCAAAGAACAATGCAACTTTAGTCTTGTTGGGGGCAACGCTACTGGAACTTATCAATTTCAAACAGGATTTTATGGCCTCACAGATATGCCAGCTGAATTTCAAAAAGCGATCGATTTAACTCTTACAAATTGCACGAACACTTACGCCTATTTGGATGACATCTTAATCGTCACAAAAGGATCGTTGGATACACACAAACAAAAGTTGCAATCAGTTCTGAAAAAACTAGACGAGGAAAACCTGGCGATATCATTGGATAAATGTAAGTTTGCATGCAAACAAGTTGAGTGGTTAGGATTTACTGTTAATAGTGAGGGAACAAAACCATTGTTGAATTGTTGATGACAAGGAACACGAAAGCCAGGGGGAAGACAATGCAAAGCAGGACATACAAACAGAAAAATGATGTCAACAGAATCTAGCGGGACTATAAAACTCAAATCTATTAGTCCCAAGGGGACTTTAAAACTCAATTTGACAAACAAAAGTTTATAAATTTTTGTTGTGAAGGGGGAATGTCATCCGGTCTGGATCGACAAACTAACCTGCTATGTATGTTAATTATATTACTAATAATCTTATGTTAAACGCCTAGACGGCTGGTCACTTGACCTTGATAGACAGAGAGGACGAACTCTAATTGAAATAAGAAACTGAGTTGAATTAATGCTGTCTGTCAACTAGTTGTTTTATATCGCTCCGACTTAGAAATAAGGTTTATCGATCCATTCGGATTCAAGGATTATAATATCATACCCTCCGGTAGGGCATAAGGGAACCTCTAAAACCAAACGCATGTTGGGTGATAAGAACAGAGACTCAATTTCTGCTTTAAAAGTAGGCACCCCCTAATTTGAATTCAAATAGTGGTCAATAGACGAAATACCTAGTAAAAAAAACATCAAAAAGTAAAAAAAAAACAACCTGAAACTACTTGTATCATGTTCAGATGAGATCCGATGAGCTATAATCTCTAATATATTAATTATCTTGCCAGGTTAATATTGTCTTCGAGTGATTATAAAAAATTTTAAGGACGTCTCTGGTTTGTGATGGGTGTCTTCAGTGCTCAAAGATGTGGACCTTACCACTAATTCACAGTGAGGCCTTAATTGAGTCATTCTGATCATTCTAGAGTGTACTTAGACTCTGAAGTATAAGGAGTACTGACAGACGCTTTCGCAGACCAAGGCCGTCCCTTAAACGCAGTGACAAAAAACGTAAGAAAAAAGATAGATTTTAAGTATATTGCCTTTTAAATTAATGTTTTTGCTTTGATTTTAGTAATGTTTTTGCTTTGATTATATTAGCTTAAAATGATTTTTAGGGGCGTAAAATTAGGGTCTATGGCCTGTTGATGCTCTTAGGTAGGCGCATTGATTAACTTCTATGAGCTTGTACAATTTAACTTAATTGCGTAATACCTACTGAAATACAAATAAATAAATAAATTATCATAGCAAGTCATCTAAAATTAACTTCACTATAATAAAGTTCATGGACAGCAGCATCCCGCAAATAAAAACACAGCTATTCAAAAGATAACAAAGACAAAATTTGCCTTGGCAACATAAAATTAAGTTCGAATCAAAAACACGAACCTGATGGAAAAAAAATAAATCCAAAAGCAATTCCATTAACACATATAGTTTCTCATTATTTTTTATAGTCACTTGTTTTAACTGTACTCAAGATATCAATTCTGTTGAGAAACATCTACAAACTGGTATTATTAATGGAGCTCCGAGCCCCTGCAGACCATTTTATGTCAAGATAGCGTCTTTCGGAAGCGCATCTTTCTGCGGGGGCTCGGTTATAGATTCGAATTGGGTTGTAACGTCCGCTAGCTGCATTCTACAAATTCGAACCGGTAAGATAAAGCATCCTAACTTCTTACTATATCTCAGCACATGGTAAAACAAGGATTGTTGATTGCTGCGTAAGTAACACAGAATATTCAGGCTAGGATAAGGCGGCAAAAAGATGAGCCACTTCCAAGCAAAACAAGGACATCCGTTAGCTTTTCAAGTAGCACAAAATGTTCCGATCAGCAGCGGAATTTGGGGGTTGGGGGTTCGGAACAACCTTCCTCAGGGATTGGCCCCTCTACCAACCCAAAGGGTCCCTCTTTGTACTATTTTAAGATCTCAACTTTTGGCTGACCGTTCTTGAACTTTTTCTAAATGCACCTATGGCGCCAATAAATAGTATTTTTGAGGGGAATGCCCGCCAAAAACACGCAATTCTTTGGTTGAAATTTCCATAAATTGCACTGAAACGCCTTTTTTGCAGCGCATAAATTTTGAATCATTTTAGGGTCTTTATAGAAAGAACTGAGAAAATTAATGTGGTCGACCTAATAAAAAACAGAAGGAAGACAAAATCTTTGGAGGTTGCTAATAAAACTACGAACTAATTAACTAAGTTTCAAGAAAAATGTGGCCAAATGGGTCAGAATAGCTAATAACTTTTGAAAATACGAGCATTTGCGGGTTTTATATGCATATGAAACCCTTCAATGCTCCTAT